ACTTAAAGGTTTTTAGATTCGATTCGCGTCAAGAGAAGGTGCCTTGGTTCGGGATCATCCGCCGTGGCCCCGGCTGTCTAAAAGAGATTGACGTAGGATGCTCATCGATTTTTTTATAATCCCTTGTCCAGCCCAAACCGAGTCTGGGCACAGTAAAATATTTTTATTTTACGGATCAAAATTTGTTGTTGGCTTCCTTGATTCCCGGTCAAGGGTATGTACTTGGGTTGCGGGCACATCCCAGTAGGAGGTGTGCAGGAGGCAGCTGGTCGATGTTTCTCTCTCATCGATGTTTCTAACTCTCTATCCCTCTCCCTTCCTCTCTGTAAAAAAATCAATAAAATATATTTAAAAATAATAAAGGCTTGGCAGCCACACAGCACCCCGCCCGGAACGGCAGGCCTAAGGAAAGGGGGTGGGGTCGCACGAAGAGGTTCCTTTTACCTGCACCCCCAGCCCCACACGGAGGCCCCGGGGCTGGGTGGCGTGTCCTCAGGAAGCACTGTGGGACCAGCCCCCACAAGGTCAGGGCGGCCGCCCTCAGTGGACTGGGTTCCCGACGCAGGTCTCCGCCGCGGCCGAAGTGGAAGACATCACCTGCCAGCAGCTGGTGAAGAGCCACGCGTACTCGGTCACGGGGGTCGAGGAGGTAACACCGGGCAGGGGGAGCGCGAGGGTGATGAGTCATGACGTTGGCCATCAGTCCAGGGCGTCCCTGAGGGGGGGGGGGCACCTGGTTGAGGCCTCTCTCTGGCTGCACGAGGTTGTGGTGCCCTTATGAGTATGGATTTCGGAGACAGACTGGGTGCCTGAGCTCCATGTACTTCTTTTTTTTTTTAATATATTTTATTGATTTTTTACAGAGAGGAAGGGAGAGAGAGAGAGAGTTAGAAACATCGATCAGCTGCCTCCTGCACATCTCCTGCTGGGGATGTGCCCGCAACCCAGGTACATGCCCTTGACCGGAATCGAACCTGGGACCTTTCAGTCCGCAGGCCGACGCTCTATCCACTCAGCCAAACCGGTTTCGACTCCATGTACTTCTTAGTAACTAAGTCATCACCAGTCACTTAACCTTTTTGAGTCTCCGACTTTTGAGCTGAGAAATGAAGATAATAACAGATCCATGCCCGGCCGGTGTGGCTCAGTGGTTGAGCGTCGACCTGTGAACCAGGAGGTCACGGTTCGATTCCCGGTCAGGGCACATGCCTGGGTTACGGGCTCCATCCCCAGTAGGGGGCGTGCAGGAGGCAGCCGATGGATGATTCTCCCTCATCGTCCATGTTTCTCTCTCTCCCCTCCTCTCTCTGAAATCAATAAAATAAATAGATAACAGAGGCAGCTCACGGGGTTGTCGTGAGGTTTAGATGAGGGGATAGCGCATGTGGGGTGCCTCGCGCTGTGCCTGGTCCGTAGCCCACGCTCCGTGAATGCTAACTGCTGGGCGCGGAGTATTTATCGGGCAGGCATTTACTACCATTCGGTCTCATATAGTAAGAACGGAGTCGGCTATGAAACCTAAACCCAGGTGAAAGGAGACATAAACTTGTTTTGGTGCCGGATTTATTATTTACGCAACCAAATGGCGAAAAACAGAGCGGTGGGGCCAGGCCTGGAAACACTCGCTAAAAGCAAATGACAGTGTGGCTGTTTGGGGACATTTGAGAAACGGGGTGCGGCTCTTGACGTGCAGACACGGACGCAGGGCAGCCGGGGACCACTGTTGTCGTCGCCATGGCTTTTGCAGGTGGATTTCCGTGGACGCCCGGAGAAGCTGATCAGACTCAGGAATCCGTGGGGCGAAGTGAGTGGACGGGCGCCTGGAGTGACAAGTAGTGTGCTGTCCCCTCTCCACCCCGGGCGGGAAAGCGTCGCGCAAAGACACAACCATGATGACAGGGGTGGTGTAGTGAGTCCCCGGTGCTTCCCACCCTCAAACCACGCAGCCTGTTCAGAAAAGGGTAGCAATGGCTCCAGCCTGGGAACCGCCAAGCAGACAGACCCCACTGAGCCCGAGTCTTGGATGCTGGGTGTCTGCTGGGCCTTTGCACGTTGGGGTCTGTCTGTTTTCCACACCACACCGTGGTGACCCAAAGGTGAGATCCCTCCGTTACAATTGGGTTCCCTCCGCTCCGCAAACCCTGGCCACGCCGACAAAGGCCAGACCCCTCAGCGCCCACAGGAAATGACCGCTTAGGAAGTGAACTCCATCCCGGGGACCAGCTGGCCGCAGCGGGCAGTGATGGATGGAGTGGCCCGCGCTCCCCAGAGCTCCTGGCGGCCGGGCATTGATCTTTCCCGCAAAGCCATTAGCGGCCCCAGAGGCCCCTCTGGGCCGGGCCTCCCCGCTGGGGAGGGAGGGGAAGTCAGTGCGAGATGGTGGCTGGACTGCGAGGCCCCCGTGGTGTCTCCCGACTGCTGCGCCCTGGGATCGAGGTCCCTGAGGGCGTCGAGCACGTGGAAGGGTTTCCTCTGAGTCACCACTGCTGGCATGGTGGGTGGGTGGGGGGGTGGCTGTCACTGGGATTCCTGCCTCACCTTTTCTTCCCACTGGAACGAGCCATCCTCCGGGTCTCTGGCCTCAGGCTCAGCTTCCCGTCTAAGAGGGACGCCGGCCTGGCTTAGAGGACATCCGTGGGAATGAAGTGGGAGGGGCCTCGTTAGGTGGGACCCCAGTTCACGCTTCATTCTCTTTGCTTGGCTGTTGAGATGTCTGAAGGGCTCTTGTAGGTAAGAAGGAGAAGCGAACGGTGGTGAGGAGACTGGACCACAGCCTCTGTGTTTGTGTCTGTGGTTGTAGGAAAGCTGAGTGCTAGCCCCGTAGCCTGTCCCCTGTGCCCAGGGGGCCCCCAGGCAGAGGGACACATTGATATTTCTCTCTCTCTGTCTCTCTCTCTCTCTCTTCCATTCTCTCTCTTAAAAAAAAAAATCAGTGGGAAAATATCCCTGGGTGAGGATTAACCAAAACAAATTTTTTTTAAAAAAGTCATTTAGCTCTAACTGGTTTGGCTCAGTGGATAGAGCGTTGGCCTGCGGACTGAAATGTCCCGGGTTCGATTCCGGCCAAGGGCATGTACCTTGGTTGCGGGCACATCCCCAGTAGGAGGTGTGCAGGAGGCAGCTGATCGATGTTTCTCTCTCATCGATGTTTCTGACTCTCTATCCCTCTCCCTTCCTCTCTGTAAAAAATCAATAAAATATATTCAAAAAAATCTTTTAAAAAAAGTGATTTAATTCCTCCCCCGCCCCCAGTGCCCCGGAGTGGAATGACGTGGATCCCAGGCAGAAGGAAGAGCTGGACACGAAGGCCGAGGATGGAGAGTTCTGGTGAGGAGCTGCCCGCAGTTGGGGTTCACCCCCTGTTCGGGTGTGGGGTGAATCCCTCGGGTGTTGTAGAAATTCGCCGTGGTTCCCGGCCGGGGCAGGGGCCTTTCATCCTTCTCCCCCTTCACCGGGCGTGATCTGCCTCTGTGCCAGGATGTCCACAGCCTGGGCAGCGCCAGCCCCGGGCCCTCAGCGTGGAGCTCTCACCTGCTGCCTCACCTTATCGTCCCAATGGAACAAGCCATCCTCCGGGTCTCTGGCCTCAGGCTCACCTTCCCCCCTAAGAGGGACAGAGTCCCTGGGGGTGGGCTCAGGAAGGTGCTCGGATGCCCTGGACGCCGGCCTGGCTTACAGGACATCCGTGGGAATGAAGTAGGAGGGGCCTCGTTAGGGGGATCCCAGTTCACGCTTCATTCTCTTTGCTTGGCTGTTGAGATGTCTGAAGGGCTCTGGTAGGTAAGAAGGAGAAGCGAACGGTGGTGAGGAGACTGGACCACAGCCTCTGTGTTTGTGTCCGTGGCTTGTAGGAAAGCCGAGCACTAGCCCCGTAGCCTGTCCCCTGTGCCCAGGGGGCACCCTGCCCTCGCCTCCCCAGCCCAGCTAGCCCAGCTCACTTGATGGAGCCCGTCTGTCCCTCTGCCCCCAGGATGTCCTTTTCGGAGTTTCTGAGGCAGTTCTCCCGGCTGGAGATCTGCAGATGGTCCCCCGACTCCCTGAGCAGCGAGGAGGCGCACAAGTGGGACCTGGTGCTGTCCAATGGCCGCTGGGCCCGGGGCTCCACCGCCGACGGCTGCCAGAACCCCCCAGGTGAGCGCGGGCTGAGGGCCTCCTGGGCTTGGCCTCCCGGGGGGGACTTTACAGGTTCCTCTTTGGGCAATGCCTTTGCACTCCGTTCTCTGGCCTCTGAGCACTGATGGGGGTGGTGGGGGGGGGGCGCACTTGGCGGCCAGGACATGGGCTGATCTCACCTGAGGCCTGATCTCAGCAAGCGTCATTCTCCAGCTTCTGGTCCAGACTGTCCCTGCTTCACCCCCCGCCCCCGCCCCTGCCCCCCGAGATGGTGCTTCTTCCCACTAACCACCTGGGCACCTGCGCTGAGGCCTCCGTCCATGCCCACCTGCCTAGGTGGCCGTTCCCCAGCCCCTGAGCTGGGGACGCAGTGGCTGATGGCGTGCCGGAGGGACGCCTGCTGCTCCGATGGCCCGCACCCGTCCCAGGGGCCATTTCTCGTGCTTGCACCTGAGCCCGGGGTGGAGGGGCCTGACCTTGGGGGTCAAGGATGGCCACACGTGGGCCTGGGAGTGGCCCCTCTCGCCCTCACGGGGGGCACGGGCGCTCCCTCCCCAGTGGGCATGGTCTCTGCACTGACCCAGCTTATTAGGAAGGCGGGCAGCCGCCCCGTCCCTGTCCCCCGCAAGCGCTAATACACACATATGCAGGCTCCTCCTAGGTCCCAGCCGCTGGGGCAGCCCCGGAGGAAGACACCCCGAAAAGATGCACCCACATCTCTCAGGAGAAGGAGGCGAATCCGTTTCCTCCACTTCCCGCCACCCCAGGCCCGCGTGTCCGCCCGGCCTTGGTGAGGTGCTGTGTGACTTAACTGTCCAGGGGCAGGGCCAGCGGCAGGGCTGGGCTCGGTGCTGTGGGAGCAGGTTACAATAAAGTCCTCCTTGAGTGCGGGCCTGGATCTTTTATTTTTTTAAAATATATTTTTATTGATTTCAGAGAGGGAGAGAGAGATAGGAACATGAACGATGAGAGAGAACCATTGATCGGCTGCCTCCTGCACGCCCCACACTGGGGATGGAGCCCGCAGCCTGGGCATGTGCCCTTGACTGGAATCGAACCTGGGACCCTTCAGTCCGAGGGCCGACACTCTATCCACCGAGCCAAACCAGCTAGGGCAGGCCTGTGTCTTGACCAGCTCTCTCCTTCATCCCCATCCAATGCGGGGCTCCCATCCCCGGAGGCAGAGATGGCGCCGAGCAGAGAGGGAGGGCGAGCGGTCCCTTCCCAGGCCTGTCACTCAGCTTGGGACCCTGGGAGTGCCACGGGAGGGTCCCTTTTTCCCAGCTTCCGTTTCCTAATCCTGAAATGGATCACACCGCCTTCCGCCTTCCGAAAGGCTTTGTGAACAGGGAGTGTTTTGCAAACGGCCTGCATTATCTTTATGGCTCCTTCGCATCCTCCGGTTCTGTTGAGGAGTAAACAAACAGTGTCTGAGACTGCACTCATGTTGCATGTGGGAGGAATTAAAATCTGCGCGCCATTAGCAAGCTCTTCGGGAGAGCGCGCGCGCGTGGGAAATTGGCATGGGTGGGTTGGGAAGCCCAGAACCGCAGGGGGTGCCTCAGGTACCTGTAGGCGCCAACCACCCCCCTCCTCCTCCCCCATCTGTGCCGCCAGCCAGCTGTCGGGAGGAGATGGATGGTCCCTGCCCTTTGGTAACGCTGTGAGCATAGAAGCTTACAGAACTGCCTCTCTCTCCTCTGGCACCTGGACGTATTTGGCTAAAACTCCGCACCCTTGTGCCAGAAATAAAAGAGCCGGAACGTGGAGATGCTGGAAGGCGGAACGGAATAGGTGCTCAGATTGTTAAGAAGAAAGTAGTGATCAGTGGTTCCTGCTCACGCGTGACTGCCTTGATCTTTTACCAAGTGGGACCCTTCTTTGGGGACCCCTCCCCACGCCTCCTGCCCCCCAGGGCACATCATGATTGAGACTGGCGCGGCCCCAGCATGGAGGTGCCCGTCAGGCCCGTCTTCTTCAATTACACGTTGCATTGGGCTGTGGTAGAATTGCTGTGTGCCTTGGGGGGACCCGGGTGACCTCTCTGTGCCTCGGCTAGTGTACTCACTCCGCCGAAAGATTATTTTTTAAAAATCCTGAGAAACAAAGCAGTCTTTTTAAATACCCAGAGGTGGTGTGACAGGCACCCTTGCTCATTGACCGATATTATCCTCGTGCATTATGCAGTGGGCTCCTCAGCGGGCAGCGTCAGACACGAGAAAACACGTGCCATCATGCAGCCCCCAGACTCCACGGAGACCTCCGGGAACGCGGGTGGGAGGCGGTCAAGGTCACGGGAGGCGGTCAAGATCACAGGCTATTCCGGGTCATCCCGCACTAGCCAGGCCACCCCTAGCGAGTCCCCTCTCCTGCGCGAGCTCAGCGTCGTGCATCAGCTTTGTGCCCGCATCCCCTGCCCACGCAAAGCTTCTCACAATTTTGCAGAACAACCGAGGCAGCTGGGAGCAGGGCTGGCAGCATCAGGCAGACCTCCCTTCCCCAGGCGCCAGGGGGGCTCCTCCCGCCACGGTCCCCAGCACGGGGTCTCAGCAGCCGGGCCCACAGGGACTGTGCGTGGCCTGGCTCCGGCCCCTCGCCTCCTCTGGGGTGCCAGCTGCCCCCCTGATTTGGGGCGGTGGGTCCACAGAACAGAGTCTCCCCTCCCTCGCCAGCTGTGCTCGCTCTGCCTGGCCGGGCTGCCCGCCTTCTTCTCCCTCAAGCCGCCCGCTTCTCAGATGCCAGGACTTCTCAGCTTTAGGCGGTTTCGCTGCCTGCAGGCCCTGCAGTCGCTTCTGGCTCCAGGGCCCGCCATCCCACCACACGGCAGCCCGCCCTCCCCTGCTCTTCTTCCACGGGGCCCAGTCCCCGAGCGATGGCGCCCTGCACGCGCTAACCCTGCCCTTTGATTCATGGGCTGAGGTTCAGCGATGTGTCCAGTGTGAAAAGCACTACAAATGGAGCCCCCTTCACACGGAGTCAGAGCTGCCCGCCCCAGAGGAGCTGCCTTGCCGTCTTACTCCTCAAACCTTCGAAATGCTAAAGCCGGGCGAGATGACCTTCGCATCGGGCCCCAGCAGCTCTATTTCCCAAACGACTGTTTGCAAAGATAATAAGGAAGCCGTGCTCATGATGGACGGATGGACGGACGGACGAATGGCCGGACGGGTGGCCGCCGGACTGGAAATGAAAAACCTGCTTTAGAATGAGCATCAGTGTCGGCTCCTCTGCTCCCAGAGCAGTGCCTTCCTTCTGTTGATGTAATTATGCCTCTTCCCTTCCTCATTCACTCCCCGGCCTTCACCCCCTCACTGCAGTGCTGTTTGGGTTGCCGTCGGAAGCGGTGCATCCCGGTAGCTGTGACTTCGGACCGGAAATAAATGCGTGTTGCCTCTCACGTTGGCCTTTGATGTTCGGCTCAAACCAGAGTCGATGCTCCAACCATGTGTTCCTTTCGGCCAGTCCTGGTCCCGAGGGGACAGGCTCCGGGAGGCCACTGCCAACGTGGGTTTGCTTCTGGGTTTTCGCGGAGGGAATGGCTCTGTTAGGAAAGACAGGGGAGCCGATGGGCATTCTCTGGGACTTGAGAAGGTTCTGTGGTTCTGTGTGCAGTGTGAGCCCTCCAGCTTGGCTTGTGGGATTGAGTTCAGCCAGGTAGAGAGGACTGGGAGATGAGCGACGGCTTCTAGTGATGGAATGGGCCTGCCTCGGCTCTGCGGCCCGTTCCAGAGCGGCCGGGATCTCGTGCGTGGATTTGCTCAGGGGCCTTGCCCAGTGGCCACGGCAGGAGGAGGGGCTCCTGCTTGGCCCCCTCGCTCCTCCTGGCGACCTGGAGTGGAGTCCCCCTCACTGTCCCCGAGGGCAGCGGCCTGGGCTCTCAGGGGCTGGAGCCACACTCTTCATTTCTACTCAGAAATTCAATCAATAAATGTGTCTTAAGCCCCAGGCTCGGGGCTCGCCCGGGAGTTGCAGGGAGGGGAAGGCAAAGGTGGATGAGACAGGTTTGCGCCTCCCAGAAGCTTGCAGTCTAATGGGGGAGGCAGACTCGCAAAGAAGCAACAACAGTGTGCACCGCGTAGCATCGGCGTTGGAAGAGGTTTGGGAAGCAGGTGCTAGGAGGGGAGAGAGGTTAGCGCCGCCCGAGGACACGGAGCAGGCGTCATGCACGTGGGAAGGAACTGGCAGCTGGGACTTCATTCATTCATTGATTGATTCATTCATTCATTCATTCACTCATTCAGTATTCGTTAGGCATCAGCTGTATTGCAGGCATGGTGGGGACACTGGTGAATGAGAGAGAATGACGTTCCTGGTGCAGGGAACAGCGTGAGGGAAGGCAAGAGCGTGGGAAACGACCTCAGACCCCCCTTGGAGAGGCCTGGGCTGTTCTGCAGGACTCGGAGCTGCTCCGTGGCTTTGAGGCGGTCCCCGCAGCCCCGCCGGACAGCCAGGCAGGAAGCAGCCATCCTCCTTGCTTGCTCCTGTTGGCTGTGGCATGATCCTGCTTAAGGTACCTTGTCCTTCTACGTCAGAGGGAAATCACAGGCCAAGATCCTTGGGCTCCCCGGGTTCAGGCTGCTTGGCCACACCCCCCTTCCTCCCCTGGGCTGGACGGACCCTCAGGGCCCTCTGGGCAGCTGAGAGGCACTGCCCATGCCCTGCCCATGCCACTGGTGCAGGTGCTGTGGCCTGTGCTGCTGCCCTCACTCCCCAGGGTGAAGAGGAGAGAGCCGACCCCCAGAATCACAGGTGGCTCTTATGGGGACCGTGGCTGGGTGAGCCCAGAAATGCTCCCGGGAGCTGAGACGCAATCCCGATGCATGACGGAGCGCCGGAGGCCTCCCACTCCCACCTGCATTCTCTGCTAATGAATTTCGGAATTACACAACAATGCACTTTCTCATCACGCAGGGGGAGCACCAACCGCTATAACGGGGTCGTTAGCTACTGCACAAGTGATTCTAATAGATGCTCTCCCAGACGTGAGAGAGGAAGGGAGGGGGCGAAGGGGGAGGAGAGGGGTGGATGGAGAGGGAGAAGGAAACTCTACTAGCTGTCGCCTGCAGGGGCTCAGCTGTCTGGGGGCCTCAGCCACCCTTGCAGGAGATGTGCCGCCGGCTCCGGGCGCCGACAGGAGAGGCTTCCTCGGGAACCCCGCCAACTGTGCAGACACCGTCGGAAATGTAAATAATAACATGCGGAGGCGATGCGGACGTAATTATAGCCCGACGTGATGAGGAGAGAGGCCCGCCGGGGACCGGCCGAGTTTTCGCGGCTCAGAGTCCCAGGATGCACTGTGGTGGTTAAAGAAGAGCCTCTAGTCTCTCTCTCGCTCTCTTTTTCCTTTTTGTTTTGTTTTTATTGCCGCATGGACCCCCCACCCCCCGCTTTTGATATTTATACCAGGCTCCCCCCACTTTTGATATTTATACCAGGCTGGGTCGCACATTAAAACAAGTGGCTTCCGTCCTGTGTTGGAATCTCTGGGTTATCAAATGGGGAATTGAACCGTGACCTCCTGGTTCACAGGTTGACGCTCAACCACTGAGCCACGCCGCCCGGGCTGGAGTTGACCTTTTTGAGAAAGACTATACCCCATGGTACACCCCCAGGGTTAGCCCCAGAGAGGCTGCCGGCTGGAGTGTCCAGCAGGGTGGGAGCCACCCCCTGGACAGGCAGGAGGCCTCTCCTCCCCCCCATCTCTGACTGGCCCTTGCTCCCAGGCCCCCCACCCCCCGCAGCCACCCCCATCCTGAGTAAGGGTGCCCCACTGTCACCTGGGAGTGAGACACTCTCCCCGATTTCCTGGACGGCGCCGTGTCCCTCGCTGGCCGAGGGCTGGGTCTCTCCGTCCAGATGGTCTGTCTGTTAGCCTGGGGGCAGGTGGG